GACACGTGGCCTTAACCTCTCCTTGCAAAGCAACAACCCTCGACGTCTGGGACCCCCTTCCCTCCCGTCGTTAAGAGCCCGAGTAAGAAGCCCGACTTGGGGCGTCGATTTCTTCTGACGTCGACAGGTCGTACCGTCGACATTACAACATAGAAATCTACCGCTAAGAATGACAATTGGGCTAAACAACACTGGCGATGAAGGGAATGCTCCTTGAGGGAAAGCCTGACGTGGCAAGCTGCGTAAGGGATGTCCGCAGTACATGCATTAAATGCAAACCCTTAAACCGCCCATACGGGGGACAGAAAAGGGTTACAGCTGTGCACAGAGCCGTAATGGGAGACTAATTGGCTGAGTAAACATTGCGCAAGAAGTAATTAGTGGGTTACGGGCTAGGCCTAGAAAGGCAGACCACTTGAGTACCTGTTCAGCCTACAATAGAAAACCCCTCCAACGAAGGAAGCTCGGCTATAGAAGGAGAAAAACCTCCTACGGACAAGGAGGTTGATCTTTCTTGAGGAAAAAGAACGAGAGAGCAATTTGTAAATTGTAACAATCTCAAAAGGAATAAACAACCACAGTGAATGTAGCTCTTCATTTTATAAGAATGAACCATTATAAACCTTGTGCGTTTTCCTACTTCAAGTATCAATTCTTATTTTGCTCACTACACAAAAAATACCACAAACACCTTCAGCACAAAACTTTTACATATAACTTCAATTAAAGCCGGTAATCTGATGAGAAACCTGAAGGTAACCTGGCTTGTTTTTGTTGACGAAAATTCACCGTCAACAATTGGCGACTCCACTGGGGACCGAATGTATTGGACCCCCAACAACAACAACGTAGTCAGCAAGCATGCCTCTGAGAAGAATAGTTGTGGCCATCAACCAAGGCATCCAGATGGATGAGACCGCCACTCATCCAGTGAATGACGGGGCGGAGGAGGTTCCACCCCCGGTCAAAAATGAGGTCCCGCCCCCAGACGTACCGCGGCCAGATCCTGTGCAGATGCAGCCCAACTAGCCACTCTAACCGATCTGGTACGTGTACTAATGACCGTGGTCGAACGCTTGGATGGAAGAAACTCTATGCCACCTTTAGAAGATGCCCCAAGGCCGCTGGGACCCGCCATGGCTGAAAACCCCAACCCTGGTGACCGCCCACATATCTTAGAAGAAATCGGGGATAATGATAATCAAAGGGGCCAGCCTAGGCCCCGAACTTCCCAATCCTCCGGCGGCCGTTTAAGGGCCTCCGGACTCCGGGCTCCTGAGGACCCGATACCAAGAGGCCGGGGAAACCCCGAAGTACTGCCTCAGAACCCAGGAAGAAACCCACCGGGAGACTCAGGGTCAGTGCAGGCGTGGGGGCAGGCAAGAGGCGGACCCAGTGGTCAAAGGGCGGAGGCGTCGAGAGTAGCTGGCTCGGCCATCTCAACAGAGGAGGCGCGCGCCATTATGGAGCGCATGGCCAGCCTGGAGAAAAAACTCACAAGGGACGTAGCAGGCCTGAAAAAGAACATAGGGCGAGTGGCTGAGGTGGTAAACGTCGACATCACACCTAGCCACACACATGACCACCCATTCACCAAAGAGATAGAGGCGCCACCTCTCCCCGATAAATACAGGTCGCCGTCGATCCCACCATATGATGGTTGAGGGGATCCCGACGATCATTTAGAAATGTACACGGGGCACATGCTCTTACACGGGTATGTCGAGGAAATTATGTGTTGAGCTTTCCGGAACCATTTAACGGACTCTGCCCGAAGGTGGTTTCAGACGCTGAGGCCAAATTCTATTGCAAGCTGGGATGAGTTGAAGGAAGCATTTTCCCTCCAATTCATAAGGGTTAAAAAATATGTCCCCCCGAAGCCAGATGAGGAAGATGGCCATGAAATCTCCGCCACAGAAGGGGAGTCTGGTCGTACAACAGACGGTTCCTCTCGACGGATGTTTTTTGAGGCCATTGTTCTGGTAATAAAAAAGACAAGGAGCTACGTCAAAATCCTAAGTCGAGAGGAAGGAAAAAATGGCGGTTATTCTAAGTGACGACCATTCTAGACAACGATTGCTGAAACACCTCAACATAACATCGACCATTCATATGAAAATGGTGACGACAAATGCTCGTGACAGCCGAGGTTCACCAGAACCCAGAAGCCAGACTCGCATTCAACCAGGAAGCAGGAAAAACTACCCTATGTAGGTCGAATAAAGCATAAAAAGCTATTGTCCTCTACATTTCGCATATTAGCACCTATAATTCACTGGGAAAGCCAGTAAAATCATCCAACAACACAAAATAAGCAATGATTAAAGCTTACCGATGAGTTAGAGTCTGGACGGAGTTTTGAAACCGAGTAGCTTCACGATGCACCAAAGGAAGCATGGAGCACAAGTCGGAGATTCGCAAGGAGAAATTCAAGCAGAGTAATGGCGGTTCTAAGGAATTTATTTGGAGAGAATGACTTCGGCTTAGAGGATATTTAAAGAAAAACAGGCCCTCGACCCCTGACCGTCATATAAAGCTTGTGGAGATCCAACGGAATGGGTAATTTTCCCAGATCGAACGACAGCAAAGCAAAGGTGGGAAAATGAAGGGGCGCGATCCAAGGGCTCACATACGTCCTTTCAAAATAAGGCCTCACGTCAGCATAGGGAAGTGACCGACGCAACGGTTGCATTCCTCAAGAAAATTCGAAGCATCCAGACCATCATTGCGGGTGAAGGCTCGGGACCGATTTCCCACACCCAAAGCACGGAAGGACGACCGAACCTAAGCTCGAGGCTGTATAAAAAAAAAGCTCGACCTAGGGGGTAGCTGTTATGGGGGAAAATATGGGGGACACGTGGGTTTCCCACACCCAAAGCACGGAAGGATGACCGAACCTAAGCTCGAGGCTGTATAAAAAAAACGCTCGACCTAGGGGGTAGCTGTTATGGGGGAAAATATGGGGGACACGTGGAGGGAGTACAACATGACACGTGGCCTTAACCTCTCCTCGTAAAGCAACAACCCTCGACGTCTGGGACTCCTTTCCCTCCTGTCGTTAAAAGCCCGAGTAAGAAGCCCGACTTGGGGCGTCGATTTCATCTGACGTCGACAGGTCGACCTTACAACATAAAAATCTACCGCAAAGAAGGACAATTGGGCTAAACAACACTGGCGAAGATGGGAATGCTCCTTGGGGGAAAGCCTGACGTGACAAGCTGCGTAAGGGATGTCCGCAGTACAGGCATTAAATGCAAACCCTTAAACCGCCCTTACGGGGGATAGAAAAGGGTTACAGCTGTGCACAGAGCCGTAATGGGAGACTAATTGGCTGAGGGAACAGTGCGCAAGAAGTAATTAGTGGGCTACGGGCTGGGCCTAGAAAGGCAGACCACTTGAGTGCCTGTTCAGCCTACAGGAGAAAACCCCTCCAACGAAGGAAGCTCGGCTATAAAAGGAGAAAAACCTCATACGGACAAGGAGGTTGATCTTTCTTGAGGAAAAAGAACGAGAGAGCAATTTGTAAATTGTAACAATCTCAAAAGGAATAAACAACCACAGTGGATGTAGCTCTTCAATTTATAAGAGTGAACCACTATAAACCTTGTGCGTTTTCCTACTTCAAGTATCAATTCTTATATTGCTCACTACACAAAAAATACCACAAACACCTTCGGCACAAAACTTTTACATATAACTTCAGTTAAAGCCGGTAATCTGACGGGAAACCTGAAGGTAACCCGGCTTGTTTTTGTTGACGAAAATTCATCGTCAACAAATAATTCTAAAAAAAAACAGAGAGGAAGCTTACCAATTATGTAGAAGACGGTGAAGATTGGGAAAAATTCTTCTGGGAAATTATGCCGTGAAAGCATAAGATATTCCAATTTATAAGGAAGCTAACCAAGTTTATTACTTTTGGAAGTAATGAAGAAAGATTTTTCAGGGACTGATTAGGTGATTTATGTTCAAGATCTTTGAGATATGAGTTGTTTCAGAAAAGGAAAGAATTTCTGAAAAATCCTCATCAAATCTTCGACATACATGGTATGTTGGAAGGGAGAAGTAATGTTCGGTGGGTTCACACAAAAAAAAAAGAGAGGAAAAAATTTAAGGCAAGTTTTAGTCCCCTTCACTTGGCGTGCGACACTCGTGGACTGGGCGGCTGATGTTGGGCGGCAATTTTGGAAGCATTAAACAGCAATAAATTCAAAAGGTCTCCTCGGCCCAAATACGCCTAAGCCTAAGTTCGCCAGAGCCCAAATTCGCCTAAGTCTAAGTTCGCTGGAGCCTAAGCTCGCTTGAGGCCAATCTCGTATGAGGTCAATCTCTCTCGAGCCTAAAATTGCAGGAGGCCAATCTCTCCCGAGCCCAAGCTCGCCAGAGCCCAGGCTCGCCAGAGCCCAAGCTCGCCTGAGCTCAAGTTCTCATGAGCTGAAAGTTCAAAGGTTGCGTGGTATCATCAAGTGAAATAACTGACACTAATTGAAGACATTGAATGATTGAAAATTAATTTTTATTGATTATTTATTAATTTTAACTCACAAATTGGTGAAGAGCCTCATTGTAATTAAAAGATAATATACTCTCGAATTAATGGGAGAGTTAAACTCCCTTAGTCCCAATATACTATAAATTCCCTTAATAGAGAGAGAAAGGGGCGCACTCATTTCTGAATACAATTGCCTTGTGACTGTCTTCATTTGTTCTTGTTACTTTTTTAGAGGGTAATTATGTTCTTGGAGTTTCCATCAATTTCCTTAGATTACTCGTTTATTTAATCTGAATTTCTAGTCTAGGGACGTTGGTAAAGTGTTTGACGAAATTTTACTCCAATAGTTCCCTCTACCTTTTTCCTCATCCTCTCCGATGTTGGGTCAGTGTTGAGGCGAAAAGTCAATCGAGACCGGCGTTATGATTTAAATTTTATCTTTAAAAATATATGGAATACCACGCGATAGTAAAACAAACATGGTATAATATAATTTATTAATTTAATATAATATAAACCAAACTCCGTATTGTATAAAAATAATATAATACAATACGATACTGATTTACAGAACAGGTGCAAGAAACTGTTTCCATAATACATGGCAATTGGCAAACGATATCCAAGCTAAGTAAATGTCCAACAGAGGGACAAATACATGGATGAGGTGTTCATTACGACACTTTATTCGTAGCACTACTCCAAGCTACTACTCAAGAACCAACTCATTTTCGCATAAGCTTCTTTATGTCCTTCTGCAAAAATAGAAAGAAAGGGAAAATTTTAGATGAATCGAATTTGAGTAGAATGATAAATGTGAGTGAGTGTTACCTTAATGGCAAGAGGGGAAGTGGTAGGTGCATAACGGTCAACAACATTGCCTTCTTTGTCAACAAGAAACTTGGAAAAGTTCCACTTGATGTTGTCCCCAAAGAGTCCTCCCTTGCTTTCCTTCAAAAACTTGTAGATTGGAGCAGCATTCTCACCATTCACATCCACCTAAGATTTGATCAAAGATCAGGAAATATAACTTTCTTTCGATATATCTCATTTAAAAAAGACAAAAAAAAAAAAATTTATTTATCTTTCATTCACGAACTCAACACTGTAGAGGAAAATAAGGATAGGAAATGAAACATCTCATGAATCTCATACCTTGGCAAAGATGGGAAATTTAGCGTTAAAGCGATTGCAAGCGGACTCGAGGATCTGTTCATTGGTCCCTGGCTCCTGAGCACCAAACTGGTTGCAAGGGAATGCCAGAATTTCCAGTCCTACGGGGTTAAACGCGCAGATTAGACATTAGCGGCGTATTTATTAATTCGAAACGGGAGAGCTAAATCTTGGGGGTTCCCTTTCTTGATTGCTCTAATCATATGGGACACACGGAAGTTGATTCCTAATTATATTAATGAACATGCCATAACCGTGAAAATGAAAAATAGGGAAAAGATCATAGCTATTTCAAACTGACAATGATAAGCAATAACCAGGAAAGTGCTCAAGGACCAAGGTGACATTTTTACTAAGCATGTCAATGAGCATGAGATAAGAGATCCAAAATGCAAAATGCCAATCCTATATTTATATTTGATATGTTTTTTTTTTTTTGATTTTGTACCCAAATGCATAATAAAATTTCAAACGTTATATTTTCTCTATCATAATTATTGAGCTTTGAAATTTGTAAAACTAAGCATTTAAGTTTAAAGTAATTTGAAATTGACGACGTAATAATGATCAAATGAAAAGGTAAATACACACCAACTAACGGCACTCAAAAGCCAAAATTTAGTATATGCTACACTTGGTGCCAGTATATGCAAAATTTAGAACTAAAAGTAACATTACATTGGAGAGTGATTTTCCTATACAAATATTAAATTTAACACTACATTAAAACGCTTTAATAGAAACATAGTTAAGAGTAGCTAACAAAGAAAGAGTATAAAAGATAGTGAGGTCAAACCTTGGCTTTTGAATTCGTCATACAGCTGATTCAGCTCAGTGTAGTTTGAGTTGGTCAAACCACTGCATCACAAATCAAAATAGGCAAAATGATTTGATTTTTTTTTAATGTTTTTTCCAATCAAAAGACCATAATCAAATAAAGAAAGGAGTGAATTTGTGAAAACTAAAAGTCAAAGGTGTGTACCATTGGGATGCAACATTGACAATCAAGAGGACCTTTCCCTTGTATTGATTGAGATCAACGTTATTTCCCTTAGCATCCTGCAAATATGAGTAATAAATAAGATTAATGCATCGTTACTTTGCGGATTCGAGTTTTCAATTCGAGGTGGGATATGACATTTTCTGAGAGCTTTTAACTGTAACAGAAAAGTTAGATGTGACATTTTCTGAGAGTTTTTAACTGTAGAAACTTAGAACTGAATACTCGAATTGGTGAAATAAAGATGCCTAATTTCTTGTAAAAGAATTGGGAACTAAATTGCGTATGTATAATATACGTGTATGTATATGCATGTGATTGGAGCTTGTTGGATATAATTCATCATGTTTATTATGGTTCTACCACTTCAATTTCTTGAGTGACGTCAAAAGAATCCCTTTCTATTTTTGAGATTTTTAATGGTAAGGTTCTGATCTGAATTGTTAGATCCGTAACAAGTTCTGCCGGTTGTACATCTTTTTTTTTTAATTTTTATAATTATTATTTTGATGTAATCTTGACCAAATTTAACTTTAAGAAACATCTGCTATCCTTCCAGAGGAAGCTACTGGATTCAAAGATGAAAAACAAATGTAACATGTAGAAAACAACTCTGTCATCTTTCAAAAATCAACAGATGAAATATTAAAGATGAAAGAATGAGTAGAGGTAAGGAAAAAGTGAGTGGAGGAGGGATTGCTTGGGAGAAGTTAGCTCAAATTGTACAATTACTAGTTCATCCTTTTTTTCATCTTTTGTTTTACCTTTAAAGTTTCTTTTCATTGTTTAAGAATTTTTAACTTCATTATTTTATATTGAATAGGTTTTGTTATTTATAAAATATAACTTAATTAGAAAAAAGAATAAATATACATAAATAAATCATATAAATATATGAAAAATATCGTTTAAATGCAGATTTAGCAAAACAATAATATGGTATGTTTACAAACAAAATTGAATCTCTCTCTTTTCTTTTCTCTTTAATATCAAACAAAGGAATGAACAATCATTATCTTTCCTTCCTATTAAACCAAAGACTATATAAAAAATTACGATCATTCATTACTTCATACTGAATTAAACAATCATGAGAACTTTCTTGTTCATTGTCGTATGATGTATTGGATGTTTTTTTAAGCTGTTGTCAGTCAATGTCGTTTTTCCCATATTCTTCTATTGATACCCATCGTCGTTTTTAAGTTGTTATCATACCGTTTCATAATATTACTGTCGTTTCTCGAAGATACAATCGTCGTTTGATATATGTCGTTTACACAGAAAGGAAGAAGAAAGATAGTTGGACGAAAACAAACCTTAACTTTGAAATCGTAGACCGAGTTTTGTCTGGCCATCGAAATTAACGATCTTGAAGCACGCCAAATGGGCTTCCAAAACTTTGCTTGACTAATCCTTGAAGAACACGAAGAAACTGGGAAGATTTAATGCTTTGCCAATTGTAAGGGACGAGATGTTAATGCGTATATATTCAGACTTTAAAGCGAGGTGATGAAGAGAGTATTTATTCCCAGAACAAAAGAGAAAGTGACTGTAATTTATACCAAAGCCAAGAGGTGGGCCATAGACTCATAATCATATAGGACTTGTTTGTTAAACACGTTGTGGTGGTTTGAACTTTTTCGGTGTATATATATATCCTCCAATTTTGATTCAAATCACTTGAAAAATGAGGAGGTGTAAACTCAGGTTTATAAGGGTTTTTTTTTTTTTTTTTTTTTTTCTCAAAATATCTAATCCTTAATTTGAATTAAAACTTAATGTCTCATTCAGTTCGTAAATTTGAGTTGATATGTGATTTTATATGATAGTTTTTTATTGTAGTAGAAAAGTTAAATATTAATTTTTTATGAGAACTTTTAACTGTAATAAAATTAGAATTAAAAACTCGAATTAATAAAATGAGCGATGCCTAAAAATTTTGCCAATCAACTCTTTCATTGCAGTAGAAAAGTTAAATATTAACTTTTTATGAGAACTTTTAACTGTAATAAAATTAGAATTAAAAATTCGAATTAATAAAATGAGCGATGCCTAAAAATTTTGCCAATCAACTCTTTAGTTCAAACCACTTGAATTAATTTATCAAACAGGCTCATAGATGTCTTAGCGTGTTATAAGATTGTGAAGAATCTTTCATTTGAGCCAAAAAAAAAAAGATTGTGAAGAATCAGATGCTTATCTTACACTCGGATGGATTCTTGCCCTACCTTTTATTGATTTTGGAAAGACGGTGAAGATCATTGCACGAGAGAATGCGTCATGGGATTCTGTAGTGATATGAAGGCGGTGGTTATTGTTTGGTCAAAATTAGAGACGGGTTTGTACATTCTGGAATTTTCCTTTCTTCTTTTTTTTTAAATCTGTAACTATTATGGAAAAAGAAAACATATTCGGTTTTGTTATCGGCTTGAGAATTTAATATGTGCGTGTGACTTAAAGAGATTATTCTGATTTGTAAAGGTGTCTTGGTCAAGCTTCAAGTTGGGCTAATGGGAATTTGATCTATCAAAAACAAGAGTTGGGCTCATAAGAATCCATCCGTGTTGTGATGACTACATATCAATACGATCTATTAAAACTCTCTCGTCATTTATTAGGCTTATTTAGTTCGTTGATTCAAAATTTTAATTTAAATTAAGATGTAATTTTATGTGAGAACTTTTTACTGTAATAAAATTTAAATTCTAAACTCGAATTGGTGAAATGAGCTGAGATTCTCTCGTCTAGCACTTTTTAATCGTTCACGGTGAAATTATAACAATCGGTCATGCTGGTATTACTCCTGCTGCTGTCATAATCCATGGACGGTTCATAGCAAAAAAACCATGGACGGTTCTAAGGTGCGGTCCCACACAAATATGTTGCACAAATCACGTTTTCACACATTACATTACAAAGATGAATTGAGAATTAGATAAAACATCGCCATAAAATTTCCACAATACGTATTCTAGAATTTGGCGTTTGACAAAACGACTGTCTTTTATCATATAGCTTTTATTTTCTTGCATATATACCTTAAGATGGAGTTTGATACGTATTTACCGTTAGAATATACCTTTTAAAGCAATTTAGAATAGGACCATGGAGAAGGGAAATAGAAGGCGACATGTACAAGAACTCCTTACTCGAATCTTTGCCGATAATGAGAACCCTTTTCACAACAGAGTATGAAGAATAATAATTTGATTGGAATCGCATTTGTAATGTCAAAGAAAAACCATAATTAAGTTAATGGCTCAAAAGCAAAACCAGTTTGAAACACTTTTGAAATACTTGCAGAAGTCCATCCATGGAACCATGTCTCAGCACTGACCAACCAAGTCCTTGTTGGACTTTAATGGCAGATTATGGACATAAATACCCCTCCCATCACACCCTTTATGGTCAATATACAATCTTTAAAGCAAATGAAAGTAAAGTAATAAAAAAACCACAGGATATCATAAACGACAATAAGTTAAAAAGGAACGGTAAGTCCAGAAGGTCTCGTTTATTTCACCCGATTCGAATTTATGATTCGAGTTATACTACAATAAAAAACTCTCAGAAACAGTCACATTTAACTTTTTTTACTATAATAAAAAACTCTCACATAAAGTCACATCTCAACTCGAATTAAAAACTCGAATAAACGAACTAAACGGACCCTAAGTTATTAAGGTGAAGTTTGGTTCATGGGTTCATAACCATAATTCATGATTCTAATTTTTAAAATTCAAATTTTTTATGAGAAAAAAATACTGTAGAGAACCAATAATAATAATTCAGAACTAATGATAAAACCTTCAAACAAACGTCCCCTAAGAAGGACAAAAGTAACAAAGTACAATAAAAGAACCAAAGATCACAAGAAACGGGAATGAAGTGAATGAGCACCCAAAGGCTCAAATAGTAGAAGAATTCAAAACGAGGAAAGTTGAAAAACGACAACAAAAGAAAGAGGAAACAGTGCACAACAAAAAACGACAAAAAAATATAAACGAAGGAAAACAAGAGACAACGATCATTTGAAAATAAAGAAATATGTCAGTACAATATGCGAATTATGAGAAAATTCAAAAGATACTAGCAAAATATGTGAGGACCGGGAAAATTAATCAATGACATGGAGGAGTTATTGCAGATAGAAGAACGCCAATAAAAACGAAAAACGACACCTAAATTAATAAACGACAATAAGTTAAAAAGGCAGAAAGAGGGAAAATATTTTAAAAAGACGGTCATATTACAACTAGCGCCATCCAAGTTCAGTATACGTCCAGCAGAGGGACTAACTGATTGAGTAGATGGTTATTACAGCACTTTATTCATAGAACAACTACCAGCTATTGCTCAAGAGCCGACTCAAGCTTTTTCCAGAAGTTTCTTTATATCCTTCTGCAAAAACAGAAACAAGGAAATCAACACCAACCCAGAATTTTATTAGTTGATCTGGGAAGTGAAATACTTCAATGAAACGAATTGTGCGAGTATAACGAAAAATTTGAGTATTACCTCAATGCTAAGAGGAGAAGTGGTGGGAGCATAACGGTCAACAACATTTCCTTCTTTGTCAACAAGAAACTTGGAAAAGTTCCACTTGATGCTGTCCCCAAAGAGTCCTCCCTTGCTTGACTTCAGGAATTTGTAGATTGGAGCAGCATTCTCACCATTCACATCCACCTAAAATTTAATCAAAGAGTAAGGATTAGAACTTTCTTTCCATATCTTTGATCTAGAAAGAAATAAATTTATCTTTGCTTCACGAACTCGACACTGTAGAGGAAAGCAAGGAATGGAAATGAAAAATCTCAAATCGAGTGAATCTCCCAACCTTGTCAAAGATGGGATACTCGGCCTTAAAGCGAGTGCAAGCAAACTCCAAGATCTGTTCATTGGTCCCTGGCTCCTGAGCTCCAAACTGGTTGCAAGGGAATGCCAAAATTTCAAATCCTACGAGGTTAAACATGTGGATTAGACATATAATGGGGCCTTTACTACTTCGAAATGAGAGAGTTAAATGTTAGGTTTCCCCAAAGTTGATTCCTAATTATGTTAGTAATAACGTCATAAGTGAAAAATTAAAATGGGGAGAAAGTTATAACAGATAAAATAGCACTTGCTTGGAGAAGTTCCCATCAGGAAACGACAAAGTATAGCTCTTTGCAATGAAAACTAACAATGCTGAGCACTAACCAAGAAGCTCAAGGTGACGTTTTTACTATGCATAATAAGCATGTGCGATGCAGAGTATTTCACTATAGTCTAATAATTGTGGTCTGATTTATTGTATGCAATGTTCTTTGGTGTCCTTTTATTAGCTCTTATGTGATTGTAAGTGTCGTTTTAGTTGATAAGTTTTATGTGTTGAACTACATGTTGTTTTGGTTTTTTGTGTTTTTTCTTGAAAGCCTTAAAAGGTGTCTGTATTGAGGAAAGCAGCTTTTGGTGATCTGAATAGAAATTGCAGAGGGTTTCCTCTCTTTCTTCCCCTTTGGGTTAAATTTTATGTGGATTTGGAACCTCGATTCCTTCCACCATCCAGGTGAGGCCAGTCAATCTATACCCAAAAGAATTTCTACGTCAATGTGGGAGAGATCTAAGACCAATGCCAATGCCAATGTTATCTCATATTTAACATGTTATTCTATTTTGTGCTTTGTTGCATAATACTACATGTACTTTTCGTCATAATTATTAAACTTTAAAACTTGTAAAAGTAAACTAGTAAACCTTTAATTTAAAATACTTTCCAAATTGACAGTGCAGTAATGATCAAATGAAAAAGTAAATACACCAACTAATAGCACTGATATGCCAAAATTTGGATCATACTACACTTGGCACCAACACATGCCAAGTTTAACACCAAAAATAGCATAATATTGGCGAGTGGTTTTCCTATTCAAATGTTAAAAATTTGAGATTGACTTGCTAACTTGGCGCTGCATTGGAGATGCTCTAGTAATAACATAGTTAAAAAAGAGAGTATGAAAAGATAGTAAAGCCAAACCTTGGTCTTTGTATTTCTCATACAGCTGACTCAGCTCAGTGTAGTTTGAGTTGGTCAAGCCACTGCATCATAAACCAAAATATTTAAAAGGCTTTTCCTTCAAACACAAGACCATAATCAAATAGAGAAAGGGGTGAATTTGTGAAAACTAAAAGTCAAAGATGTGTACCATTGGGATGCAACATTGACAATCAAGACGACCTTCCCCTTGTAGCTGCTGAGATCAACATCATTTCCCTTAGAATCCTGCAAATACAAGGATATGCATAGCATTAGCTTCTTGTTTAGAAATGAAATATGTATTGAATACAATTCACATTTGAAAACAAATAAATTCTTAGACAAGTATTACATATAAGCTCACTTCCTTTCAAAATTCTATCAACAACCTTTTTGATGCAGAGATGAAAAACAAAAGCAACTGAAAACAGCTGTGTTAAGTGTAATGTTATGACATTATGTTTCCATAATCAACTGAAATAAATTTCATTATTTCGCTCGAATCAAACCAACATAAGAAAAGAAAACGACAACTCAATTAAACAATAGCTGTATTAATAAAATAAATAACCGCGATAACTTTCATGTTCATTGTCGTTTTAATCTGTCGTCGCTTTTGAGTAATTGCCGTTTTTAAGTAGTCATTTGTCAGTAGTGTTTTATTATAAAGGATATTGTCGTTTCCCTAAGCTATAATTGTCCTTCGATTAATCTTATCGTTTGACGGTTTGAGTTGTTGTCAGTTATGTCGTTTTAGAGCGTTTTTGCTAAGCTATAATCGCAATCAGTTGATATCGTTTTAGTACAGTGTTGTCAGTTTTCCTCAGCTATATCACAATCAGTTATGTCGTTTTAGCAGGGTATTGTCGTTTTTTCAAGATCTTGTCGTCTTTAAGATGTTGCTAGTTAATGTCGTTTTAGAAGGGCATTGTCGTATTCTAAGCTATACTGGCAATCAAATAATGTCGTTTCAGAAAGGTATTGTCGTTTTCTAAGCTACATCATATTCATGATCATAGGTTAAAGAAAGGAGAAAATTAAGAAGACGTTGGGTGGGAGGATTTAAACCAGAATCATAATTTATAATTTATTATAGTGTTTTCTCTCATAAAAATAAAAAAAAATATATATATGTAAATAATTTTAATCACATTAACCAAACTTCTCCTAGATTGAATTGAATCATAATTTATAATTTATTATAGTGTTTTCTCTCATAAAAATAAAAAAATATATATATATGTAAATAATTTTAATCACATTAACCAAACTTCTCCTAGATAAAAGAAGATTAAAGAGGGAAACTTGGACAAACCTTAACAGTGAAATCGTAGACAGAGCCTTTGCTGGATTGGCTAGCCATCGTATATTCCGATCTTAAAGCGCACCAAACGGACCTCAAAAACTCCGCTTTAATAATAAACCTCGTCGAACGCGAAGAAACCTGCGAAGAACTCAAAAGGGTTGGCTTTTTTTTGGACGAGAATCGTTTTGCCAATCGAAGAGACGCAGATATTGCAGATAAACTCAGATTTTTTTGGTAGATAAAGCGAGTTGAAGAAGAAAGCATGATTACCCAGGAAGAGAAAGCGATTGAAATTTATCTAGAAGAAAATATTTGTGAAGCTGACATTTTACACGTGGATGGACTGTAGCGCTACACGTGGCATGAAATGGCCAGATTTTTGTCCTTTTGTTGACTTGGAATAACGGTGAAGATCATTGCATAAGAGCATGCGTGATGGGATTGTATAGTGATCGACGGTTGTGAGACGTTTGGAAGAGAGATTCGTGCTATGATTCGAATCATAGTTCGTGATTTGTTACAGTATTTTTTTCATAAAAAATACACATAAAATGAGAATGGTTATGAATTATGATCCTGAATCCATGAACCAAATGTCCTCTTAGGAGACGTTTAGTTCATGAATTAAAATTTTTTTTGATTTACGTGTATTTTTTATGAGAGAAAATATTATAGCGAGCCACGAACTATGATTTGAATCATGATTCATGGTTCACTACAATATTTTCTCTCATAAAAAATACACATAAATAAAAAATAATTTTAATCACATGATTCTAATATATGAATCAAACGTCTATTAAAATTAATTTTATATGAAAATTTTATTATAATAAAAAAATTAAATATGATCGTTTTTTAAAAATTTTTTCTTATAATAAAATTTAAAATTTAAATTCGATTAGAAAATTAACGGTGAACACTCTGAATTTACATTTATTTTTCTTTAGATTTGGTTTTTCTTCGTGTCCAATTTGTCTCTCCCTAAAAAAGGAAAAATATCTTTAGTTTTGTCATTGGCTTGAATATTTTAGACGTGGGTGTGAAAAGATGTGGATTGTTTGGATTTGCAAAGGTGTCTCTTTCAGCTTCAAGTTGGGCTGGTAGAATCTAGAATATTTGCTGGATGATCCCTATGCAAAAATTACATTAAAATTAAGTTGAAGTACAGTAATCGTGTTGAAATATTTTAAGAAAAGGAAAAATTACATATTAACTGTTATAGTAATATTCAAGTTTATACTATATGATGATGAATAAGAGGTGTAGAGACTAGAGAGTGAAACATGACACTTAAAAATATTTGTACAAATAAAAGAGTGAATTTGAAATTGGACTACGAGGGGGAGTAGAAGGAAACTATGAGAGTTTTGAGAAGAGATAAGAAGAAAAATAGGGAAGAAAAATTATACTTCATAAAGTATTGCACTTCTATCTTAAAAGATTAAGGGTGCGTTTAGAATTGTTTCCAAAATGATTTTGTTTTCTGTATAAAAATAAAAATGAAAACGTTTTCATTTTCATTTTGGAATTATTT